CACCACTCCCCACCCCCTCCCCCACCCTAATTTAAATCCGCTTCTGCTATTTAAAATCACATCATTAAGATTGATCTAAATTGATTTAAATGTATTACATATTAACGTAAGTTGCAGTCGATCTATAGCAAACATTTTAAGGTCCTGTTATTGGTCAACCCTTTTCTCTCTTTAATTAGAATGAATTAAGTTACATAGTTAGGTAACACAAACTGGCGTTAAAACAAACCTATGAAAACTTTAATAAATACTTTTTATCTAAACTTTCTAAATTCGCCTCTGAATGTTATTGTCGCAGTACTTAAAGCAATAAATCAATGTTGCTATCAGAATTATCTTCTTCATTCTCGTATGCAACCTAACTCTAGAGTCTCTGCAACACTTGCTTGAAATTGGAGGTGCCATCGGACCCGGATAAGCACATCGAGCATTTATATATGGCACTCTACATAAAGAACACTGCAGCACCTAGGGCTATACAATTCAAGTGGGCAATAATAAATCAATTAAGTACAGTATTTAATTTATATTCAAAAGAAATTCAAAAGAGATAGAACCTCCACTAGAATGGAACATATACAAAGACACATAGTATGGTACAAATTGCATTGAACTTCATAAAAAATATGTATTTCATCCGAACAATTTAAATTATTAAATGTAGCTTATCTTTTAAATAAACTCTCTTACCTCACATCAGCTAAAGGGGGAACATAGATTAAGTGTTTAGTGCAAACAAAGGTACATGATTCAGGGGCGGATCCATGATTTGGAAGAGGGGGGTTCAAAACGTTTCCAAAAATACCCAAAATGAAAGGGGGTCCGGGGGTCCTCCCCATGGAAAATTTCCCCATGGAAAATTTCCCCCTTGAATCCGCCACTGTATGGGGAATCCTTTAACGCTCAGGTGACCTAGGGTTTTAAAACAAATACCGTATAGGCCTATACTCACGTATAAACGAGGCTTAAAATAGCAAATTACGATTGAAAAAAGGGAGTCGTCTTATACGCACGACATTCAGATTTTTGATTTTTATTCGTCTTATGTGCGGATCGTCCGTAAATCTGGTTTTCTACTAGGCGAATTTATTCACGCGAATCCAAAACGTCGGCTTATGCACATGCGCATTCGTTCACATTCCTATCGGAGTTTTTGAGAAAGGAAGCGAGCCAACTCTTTGATTGGCGCGAATAAATTCGCTTAGTGGAAAACCAGCTTAACACGCGAACTTACTACTGCAATGAAGCAACTAAATGTTGTATCAATGAAAGCAATTTTAAATATGGGAAAATACGATTTTGGTGGTGAAGATTTAAAAACTCATAAAATGGTATTATTTTGAAGATTACCCTTGCTTTTGGCTCCATTTATCCAGCTAGACGCAGTATACAGGACCACAAAAAATTAGGAATTCCAACCATGAAACAGGGAGTCGTCTTATACGCCAGACATACAAATATCAACCAAAAATCTTCTAAAACTCGGGGGTCGTCTTATACACGGGTCACCTTATAGGACCTACGCGAGTGTATACAGTATTATTACGGAACCCCTGCGGAAGTTCGGGTTCCCGTCACATTTTAAACGGTTGGTTGTAACAATAAATTCGCAAGACTGCTCGCGACTACTAGATTCTACAAGTGCGTGGTTGGCTGGGTTGTTTTGGGTCGGAAAGGAGAAATTTTCTCTGTGAATTGATTCTCGAATGAGATAAAGAAAGCTCCCTAATGACTCAAGCTACTGTATACCGTTTTTATATTTTTAATAAAACCAATATCTTCTTTAAATAGATAACTGCCTGGCCCTAGGTAAAATTGGTAAAAATGCACCTGATCGGACATAGTGACACTGAGCCTCTAGGGGTCTATTCAGACGAAACTTTGAATCCTTATACATTCTGAGGTTTTTTAAAACAGATACGGTACGGC